CAAAACGATTCCTTTTTCTGTTGCAAATTGTAACTTCCAATAATTTTTCTGAAGAAGTTCACCTAGTGAAATATTCAACATTTCATTCTGATTTATTTTTTAGTAAGACCTCATATTGATCAGTGCTTGTGTGACCCATTTTAATTTTCATAGCCTTAAAAGTTTGTGCATGAATGCAAGAATCTCTAAGAAATGGAAAATGTTAATACAAATAGGCAAAGAACTAATTTCAGGTCAGAATTCTCGAATCAAACACTGTACTGCAAGACGAATTAAGATTTAAAGGTACTCAGGGAACATTATAAAAAGGAAGTCATGGTAGGAAAAAATTCAAAGTGTCCCCATTTTGAAAGCAACCTGTTAATATGATTTCCTTATGTTTGATTACTTACCTTTATTGTAGATTTAGCTGCAGGGTTTTTTTTAATATACTAAATGGCATTATCTATATCCTTTCCTCTGCTGGCATAATAGCTTTCCTCTTCTCTCTTGGAATTAAGATTTATATGTCATTTCCCCACCAAATTCCTGCCTGCCCAAATAAACTTGATTATCACATTCATGTCTCACTTGCACCCTTGCTATTCGTGGTAGTAATAAAGTTCTCCTCATTTTATCCTCACAGCTTTGTAAAGTCCGCTGGCCACTCAATGAATCCCGAAGGCATTGTTCATTGCCTTAACTACTGGCTTTTGCTCATTCAATGTGCAAAAAGTTAGATCTACGTGTAAGATATCTTACACAAAAGCACTTCTGTTTCTTTTTTAACCCAACTCAGTCAGCCAAATCTACAAGATAAAAGCGATTGCTCTTTACTGTTATGGCAAAAAAACAGCTATCTTGTGGCATCTTATTACTTACATTTTTGTGACTCACAATTCAGTTCATCGTATTTTAAAAGTACCATCTAAAGACATAAATGAGCAAAGTCAACAGATATGAAATCTTAATCCATTGGAGTCACTATTGAGAAATATTATATCTCAGTCTTTCTCAGAGTGTAGGGCAGACATGTCAAACACAAGGCCCAGGGGCCGGATGCGGCCCGCGAAGCCATCCTGGAAACAGTGAGGGAACGGCCCCCGTTGCCTTGGCCCTGGCCCAGGCTGGCCGGGAGCCAATGTACAATTTTGTGGTGGCCATCTATGCTGAAACGCATTCAGTCTTAGCTCCACAAGGCCGTCTAGAAACAGGAGGAACCAGACCCTGCTGTGTCGGCCCCGCCCCCTGGGTGCATACTGGGGAGGTGTCACCCTTTGTGAGGAATGAAGAAATGGACCATCCCTTGGTGCTTGCCCCGGTCACACCCCCTTCTGCCAGAGACCCTCAGATCTGTCCCACTCCTGCCCAGGCCCCCACAGGCACCTTTGACGCGAACGATGTAGAGCTGGCAATGCCCACCCAGTAGGCCACACCCACTCCATCCACGCCCACCCAGTAGGTCACATCCACCCAGCCCCCTGAGGGCAACCACAATGCTGATGCGGCCCTCAATGAAATTGAGTTTGACACCCCTGGTGTAAGGCTTCTTTAGAATATTCCGTCCTAAAATTTACCAACTTACCAAATGAGTGGGAATGATGCTCTGCTCCCATGGCAAAAGAATATCTAATTTTAATTTTGGGCTGGGTCATAAAGATAAGGTTTTTTGAGAACTTATAGTGGCACTGAGGGAGACACAAAGCTGTAGAAAAAGATCAAGATTTAAATTGGTACTGGCTTATCTGTACAGTTCCCAGGTTTTTGTTTATCTAGCCAAGGTCAGGTTCTGCAATCTCAGTACCAGAGAAAGAAGATCATGAGGTTTTGGTGCCAGGTTTTGATAAGATCCTAGTATTGCCCTTTTTGGGGGGATCTTCTACATAGACATAGTGCTGAGTGCTATGTAACTTCACTGCTTTGGGGTCTCTCCACTGTTGTTCCACTGGGAGTCCCAACAGCTGAACAGAGTTTTGTTATTGTCTTGCTTGGTATGCTATGCTTTTGTGTTTGTATTAAATCTGCCTGCTAAAGTTAATAATAAAACTTAAAATCTCTTCATTTACTGGTGTGTTTATTGTCTCTGGATCCTCAATTGACTTGCATTTGGCCACTGCTTGTTCCTTAACAATACAGAACTTAGCCCCAACTGAAAATAGGTTCTAATGGCTAAAACCAGCCCTGTTTTGGGCCTGGAAACAAACAGGCAGATGAATCAGAAGACAATAGACCAACATAGTCATTTAAGGCAAATTTAATGTTATTAAAATGAACATTGTCCTTTTTTATGTTTTTGGAAATATCCTACGTTAATACCAAATAAATATTTCCTGTGGATAGATAAAATTATTGAGGAAATTTATTTGTTATTGGGCATCACCAAAGTTTTCTTTGGCTAAATTGAGATTATTATTTGAGGAAGGTGTCTTTAACCTATCTAACTTGCAAAAATATCATTGGGCCAACATTTTATCAGCCATCTGCTGGTGGAGTGAAAATATAACTGAATATCAGCCTTCTGGGCTAAGTTGGAAAGTTATTATCTATTTCTTTTGCAAGCATGGAAAGTGCTTTGGAACAATGAATAGCAGAAAAGGTGTTTAATTTCTGGGAGTATAAGCAGTGAGAAATCATTGGGCCATAATGGGATATAAACTGAGTTTTGATAATGAGAATTATGAATATCTTTTTTATATATATAAAATCTACTTTAAAGGTGATGATAAATAATTCTATTGGAAGATTTGGGCAGAAGCTGGGATAATGACTTTAATTCAACGGCTATGAAATAACTATTTTAAGGATTTTTACTAACTTCAAACTGAATTTGTCTTTCCAATTTGCAATGGAAGCATTTCCAGCTTAAGTATCTTCTAACAGATCAATACATAACAAATAGTTTGGCTGCCTCAAAGACATCTGAGTTGCTTTCATACATCAAGGTCAATGAGGAAGCTAGCAGAATGTTCCAAATGATCACATGACCACAGGATGCTTTGATCACAAGGGATTTACCTAAATGAAGGTAATGAACTGAAACTGCAATCATATGTCAGCATGTTCACATGACATCACACCTTATGATCATGTTGCTTAGCAACAGACTTCCCCTCCCAAATACTGTTGGTAAGTGAGGACTACCTGTATTCCATACGTCAAAGAATGGTTGTTAGAAATGTGTGATTTATCTGGAGGGAAGATGCAGTATTTTCTATCAATCAAAAGATGCAGCAATATGTGCTACTGTGGCAAAGTTTGTGATATCTTATGTCATATAATATGTATTCATATTATAGCAGCAAATTCATTAGCGAACCCAGGATTCTTGATAAATATTAAATATAGGGTAGATTTTTTTTCTTTCTTAGTTTGCATTTTAGTCAGTGCTATATTTTTTTTAAAAAAGCAATTATTTTTTCTTTTAAGATTAAATATTGTTTTGTTAAACACACACACACACACAATTAGATGTATAAATTAAATGAACGATTTTTTTAAAAAAGGGCAGTCTTGTGCAGAAACCCTTACAATAATTCAGCTTGGATAAATTGTGTCCTAATAGTTAACTGCTGCTTAGCAAATATCACTCGTCCTGGATACTAAAGCTGTCCACGCTTAATCCAAAGGAGCCTCCTCTCGCCCCCTCCCCCCAGCAAAATACCCAGGGAAGAGGAAATAGAAAAGATTTGCGATTTGGTCTTGAATCAGACCTGCCTAGGCGGTTGCACACTAAGGAGGCCCAATCACAGCTAGGGTGCAAAAGCAAGAGTCGCTGGCGCGCACGCGGGGAAAGGGGAC